TAATTTATGAACCAAGAAGTTTATGAAACTCACCATATTGACTGCAGGTTTTGGTGAAGTCTCTTTCCTTTCCCCATACCTTCTTCTAAGATGAGAAGATCTGAAGGACCGCTAGTTTTTTTAGCCTTATATTGTGTTGGGCTAACAAACCTGCTTTTCCTTTAGTTTCCTTATTAGCTCTTGAGCTAACATGATTTAGGGATTTGGGACTTTGGAAGCTCCTCCATTCCCAGAAGTTTGAGCATGGAGAAAACAGGCCATTAAATGGAAATTAATTGTGCACAGGGGATTCTGTTTTGATTGAATCAATGTGAATGTGGGTGCTAGTCTGCAAGGGAGCAGTACAGACTAAGGCTTTGCCATAAGTTTCATTCTGAAGGCAAACTGAAGAAGTGGTTTCTGAAGTTTGCCTTTAGTTTGGTGCTTAACTCTCTTTGATAAAAATGTCTTATTTTAGTGAGGTCCCATTTATTTATCTGCATAAACTGAAGACATCCTGGCCACGTTTACATGAGACACTGACTGAGCAGTAGCCCATGACTACTGTGCAGTAGTGCTGTGTGGCAGAAAGCATGATGTGATGCTGCTGTGCAGTAGTCTTAGGCTACTCCGCAGTCAGCATCACAAAAAAAACATTTGGCAATGCTACTGTGCAGTAACTCCAGTTCCTGCACAGTCATTTAGTACTTGTTTATACAAGTACTTGTTTATACAAGTACTAAATGACTGAGCAGTAATGACTGTTGGTGCAAAAGTTGGGGTCTAAGTCTAAGAAAGTAGTCTAAAACGCTCCCCTGCCTGCTAATCTCTGAGACACTGCAGGAGCCTGAGTTTTCATTAGTAAACTTTCCTCGATTCCTAAAGTTCTACTATTGCACATAACCAGACCTGCTGCCATCTTGGCAGAACTGGTGAACACAGTGCCTGTCTCACACCTCCACCCACTCAAAATTCACAAACTCAGCCTTCCTACTCCTAGATGAAGGACAGACTGCCCCACCTCTGCAGGCTGTAGTTAGAAAGAAAAGAGAGCCAGTTTTCTGTAGTTTTCTAAATCTGGAGGAGAGGCAAGTTTTTAGATGTGTAGCTTAGCATGTGGCCTCTTTTGAATTCCATTCTTAGGTACCCAGCTTGTGTATTGGATAGGGGACTTCATTGTATACCATTGGGTACATCTACATGTGCAATTAATGCACCTGAATTTTTTGTGCACATGCACCCACATCAGGAGCAAATTTGCTCCTGACAAGAGCAGTTCAGTTCAGGGCTTCTCCTGCACCCCTTCCTTGCTCTGCTTCCCACAGGTCTGGAAATTTGGCGGTGGTGGAGCCATGGCAGTGTTAATTACTGCTCTCCTGCTGCCAAATTTCTAGACTCTGGAGAGCTGTGGGGCCCGGATAACATAGCCCTGCTCACTAGATTGTGTTGGCATGCGCCAGTGCCTCGCTGGATCTGGGTGTGCAGGGTGGGGCAGTGCATGGCCACACCTAGTGCATGGGATCAGGGCAGCAAGTGGCTGGGTCCAGCTCTTGGGGTTGGTCCCGTGTACTGAATCACATCTTCAGTCTGACCCCATGCACTGACCCCACATAGGATCTAGCATGTGAACTGCATGGCATGTGAACTAGCATGGCATGTGAACTAGCATGTGAACTAGCATGGCATTTATTTGGCTGCTCAAGACACTCTCTGTTAAATCTATGGGCAAAGACTACTGTGCTGCAGAAGAGAGGGTGTAATTCTGTATGTGCACAGAGGCAGCCAGTAGGAATCACTAAAAGCAAACAGAGGGTGAATTCCCACTTCAGTCATGAGTTCCTTATGAAAGCTGGGCATGAGACATTTCTTGTTGCTTACTACTCACTGTGACTAGTGGGTTTCTGAAAGCAGACAAGTCACAATAACATGTCTCCCTTAAGAAGAGATGGTGGTACCCATCTTTTTCCTGATACCTTGTGGTTAATCAGTGATATCAGTGTGTGTGTGTGTGTGTGTGTGTGTGTGTGTGTGTGTTTCTAAATAATGACCACCTAATGTAAAATGTATATGCCATTCCAAAGGAAAGCAAGAGCAGCCCACCCTATAGTCTAGCAATTCTGGGATTTCTGGGAGAGGTGAATTTTGGGTTTCTGCCCATGGTTGCACAGTGGACTATGCAGGAATTTGTTATCAGAATAACTTTGAATGAGGGCAGAAGCCCTACTGTAGATGATTTTATATCTGCTGATGCAGGACCATTTTGAGCCTTTTTGGAATTTAAACAGCTAAATTGTGGCCAAGCCCCATTAAGGCGCTAAAAGAAGCACTTTGAATCCAACTCTGTCTCTACAACAAGCCACTGATGCAGTCAGGAAGCCAGGAGACCATTGAATTTTTCCTCCATTAAGGCTTCCAAAGAGCAAAGGGATGATGGCTTGAGGGACTTTGGAATCCAAAATTCTATGGAAGAGATTCAGGCACAACTGTACAGTAGGTGCATTCATCACAGCCAGGGTGTCTGAAATGGAAGCATCCCACATGCACCAATGAGCCTGAGACAGTGGTTGAGAGGCCCACCTTGTACACAGTATTTTAGGGGTTGGATTAGTCATGCAGGAAGTGTGATACTGGGACTCTTGCATCTTCTTAGCCACAGGGGAATCAAGCCCACTTCTAAGGAAGCTGCCTGAACTGCCAGACTCTACCCTCCAGCCCTTCTGTTGGAGGCAATGTATGCCTATGCCACATACCCAGTGCTTTCAAGGAAGATTCTTTTTAGAAGGCCCAGCCCACATTCACCTTCTCTCACAGGCTAAACCAGAAGGACAGGGTTGAGAGAAAAGATGATGGTGTTGCCTTGTACGTTAGAAGCACATGCAATTGTTCCCTGGTTCAAGAGGAAGAAGACAGCAAAGCAGAATGAATTTGGCTGAAGATGAATGGTGAAAGATGTGGCATCGATCTAATGGTGGGGATTTATTATAGACCACTTAATGAGGAAGAGGAGCTAGATGAGGAACTGGGATGGT